GCCATCTCTAAAACCAGGAACATTAAACATCAGGAACATTTCCCCTTTTCCCCACTCTTTTTTTCCTGAAACCAGAACAGACACAGGTCCACAGTGGGGTCATTAACCCAGCAAGCAGTCTTCTACACCTGGTCCAGCACTGTCAGCAGTGAGCAACTGTACAGTATCCTAACTAGCCACACTCCATGCGTCAGACTCCCAGCAGTGTCCATGAGGACCACCAGAGGACATGCCTCATTAGACCCACGATGTCGAACTCAACCCGTCAAAGCAGGAACCCCAGTCCCTGAGCACCTCACCATGAAACCATCATGTGTGACTTTACCTGAACCTCTTCGGAAGCTAGTTTGCATCCTCCCCACTACAGAGTGGGAGTGATGAGAGCTACTTGTTTACAGTTGCTTTGCAAACTAAGACTTTTTCCTCTAGTTGAAAATGTAACTTTCAAAGCCCGAAGTGGGAACTCCTAACTCTGGAGTCATGGGCTTGCACTGAACAAGGATGAATCAGGATGCAGACACACGTGTTCTCTGCTGAAAGTGAGAGTGTTAGTCACTCAGCTGTGTCCGACTGTTTGCGGCCCCGCCAGGGTCCACTGTCCATGGAATTCTCCAGCCTTTCCCTTCTCCAGGGGATCTCCCCAACCCAAGGATCGAACCCAGGTCTCCTAAATTGCAGGCGGATTCTTTACTGCCTGAGCCACCAAGGAAGCCCATGTTCTCTGTTACTGAGATTGAAGATTCCTTACTGTCAACAACCCAAATGTCCATCAAAGGGGGATGATTAACTAAAAGATGGAACACATAAAACAGAATACAAGAAAAAGCAACGAAGATGAATATGCTAGAATTCTATGTGTCCTCAGAGACCATGCTTGAAGCCATAAGGTGGAGCTAAAGGAAATTCCAACATATCAGATACCACTTACATATATTAAAAAGAGCTATCCATTGGGTCTAAGGCTTCCCAAGTGGTGCTCGTGGTAAAGAATCCACTTGCCAGTGCAGGAGATGCAAGTTCAATCCCTGGGTTAGGAAGATCCCTTGGAGGAGAAAATGGAAACCCACTCCAGTATTCTTGTCTGAAAAATTCCATGGACAAGAGGAGCCTGGCAGGCTCCCGTCCATGGGGTCACAAAGAGTCGGACATGACTGAGCAACTGAGCGTGCACACACATTGGGTCTAAGGTCGTGCACATATCTACATCAAAATTTCAGAACATGTGCATGGATTTGGTTACATGCCAGATTCACTGTGGTGTTTTTCTGTTGTTCTCTCCCATGGCGAGAAAGGGAGAAAGGTATAAGCAGGACTTCTACCTGATCAGTAATGTTTTATTTCTCTCAAACACTTGAAACAAATATGACATGTTCACTTTGTTCTCTGGCTCGAGTGTGGGGTGGGTGTTTCATCAGACCCTACTTCTTGATACTATGTTCTCCTTAAAAAAAAAAAGAGTCCTCGTTACCTAACCCTGGGCTTGGTGGCTCAGATGGTAGAGTCTGCTTGCAATGTAGGAGACTCAGGTTCCATCCCTGGGTAGGGAAGGTCCCTTGGAGAAGGGAAAGGCTACCCACTCTAGTATTCTTGCCCAGAGAATCCCATGGACAGAGGAGCCTGGCAGGCTACAGTCCATGGGGTTGCAGAGTTGGACACAACTGAGTGACTAACAGTTCCACTTTTACTTGTTACCTGAGTTTGTCTTTAGACAAATTTCTACACCTTCATTAGACTGTACATTCTTTAAGTTGTATGCTAATTCATGTGTGATTCTGGGAGGCAAACACACGGTTCTCTGGATAGAAGGAGTGATGGATGGAAGACAGAGATATAGTGCCCTTAACCCCTTCCCTAAAAATCACCTTCTTGGGACTCTCTCCAGCTGCTAGTCCTTGCCTTGCCTAGCAGGGTCCCACTCTTTCTGGGATTGTTTTAAGAAATGCTGGGCTAGTCGGGAAGTGTGGCGAAGACCCCAAACACTTGCCTGAGCACCACACATGAACTGAACCCTCTGGCACTCTTCCAGTAGGGAGATGTTCTATTAAACACCAGGCTGTGGATGATGGCTCACTACACTTAATGCATTCCTTCTCTGGGGCTGAGATACCACCTACAACATTGCTGCATTCAAAGCATGACTACTGGAAATAGCAGGCCAGCATTTCAGAGCAGTCAGATTTTTTTTTTTAAGGAATGGAATTCAGGGTGGTCACTGGAGAGAGATTTGACTATCTTGCCAATTATCCTTCTCAAATTCCTTTTCCTGTATATGTTATATTTCAATTGCCCTACAATAGAGTTATGTTTCCATCAGAATCATACAAATATTCCAGCTGCAGGGCACTTATGATGGAAAGTAAGAATTCATTAGCACAGTCCTTGTCTTGGGCTGGCAGCAATCCTGACTCTGTAACATGCTCCCATGATTCACGCCAATTTATCTGAGTTCCTTCCTGATACTTGGGCAATTATTTAAAATGCTGAAAGTAGCAATATAGAAACAAGATCGTTAAAGAGGGAAAGAGGAGAGGGGAAGGGAAAACTTCAAAGGGCCATGATTTCTTAACCCAAGAGTTCGTTTTTCAGGTAAATGTCAATTTCAGGTAAAATCTTTAAACCATTACACACACACACAAACACACACACACATATCTAGCCCCAGACCAGAAATTATCTCTGAACTGTAGCAGATTTAAAGTCCTAAAACCTTCCAGAGACATTTTAGTGTTACTCTCTCTGTTGAGCCTGACTCTTTTCAATCCCATGGACTGCAGCCTGCCAAGGTCTTTGGTCCATGGAATTCTCTAGGCAAGAATACTGGAGTGGGTAGCCATTTCCTTCTCCAAGGGATCTTCCAGACCCAGGGATCAAATCTGGATCTCGCATACTGCAGGCAGATTCTTTACCATCTGAACCATCATGGATGCCTGAGACATTTTAGAGAGATGTATTATTCTTCGGGTAATAAACTCACCGGGTCTGTGCACTGAAATTTCTGTTGACCAAAACAATTTCACTGCTCACTCTGACAGTCATTAAGTAATTGCCAAGTGCTCAGCACTTGTGCTAAGCAGCACTTTTCAGGCATCACCTCATGTAATACTCATGACATCTTCTAGAACATTGGTTCTCCAGATCGACAACATCAACATCACCAGGAACTTCAGATCGACAACATCAACATCACCGGGAACTTACTAGAACTGCAAATTCTTGGCACCTAGTCCAGAGCTACTGAATTAGACACTCTGAGCATGGGGCCCTCAATAGGGCTATCCCATGCTTTATTTATCCAATCTTCATAATAATAGAAGTTTACGTTGTGTCAGACTTTTTCCATCAGAAACTAGACACTCTGAGAGCGTCTTGTTTTAACAAGCCTGCCCAGTGACTCTGATGCATGTTGAAGTGTGAGAATCACCACCTAGAAAGTACTGTTATTATTACCACTTTGTAATGCACAATGGAGGCCCAGAAAGGTAAAATGACCATCTGAGTTACATGGAAAGTGGATGCGACGAGATTCGAAAGCCAGCGAGTCTAACTCCATAGCCCAGTCCCTTCATCACAGTGCTACCCTGCTCATTATCTAAGAAATGAGCATGGATTAAATCAGTCAACATCAGGAAAAACAAGCACAGTGAGCGTAGAAGTGATCCTTCCAAATCTCAACAGCTGAGCCACAACAACGGCCTGTAAAGACAAACAATGCTTCTCAGAAACATAAAATTTAACTTAAATGTCCACAAAGATGGGAGTCGTTAACTAAATTATGACACAGCCACATGATGGAATACAATGCAGCTTTAAAAGTGATGCTTGCCAAGATTTCCAGCGACCTACAAAAATACTTGGGACGTACGAAGGGAAGAAACTCACATACAAACTCCAAGACCAGGAGCACCAGTGTGGGCACTTTCCCCAAAGTGGAACACGCTGGTGAGGATGTGAGAAGATGAGTTGATTTCACACGCTGCTAGAGTGAACATAAGTTATACAGTTACTTTGTGGGACAATTTGACAATAGACACTTAAAGTTTAAAATGCACATGTTCCTTGACCCCAAAAGTCTACTTCTTAGAAACAACTCTAGAAAAATACTCGTACATGTATACGAAGAGTCAGGTCAGGGTGATCATCCCTGAAGTTTAGTTTCTAATGTAAAAAGTCTGAAACAACATAAATTTCTATTGTTATGAAGATTAGATAAATAAACCATGGGATAGCCCTATTGAAGAATGCAGTATGTAGGTTACAAGAAATGTAAGTATTCCTATATCTATATATTTACATATACACATGCAGACCCATATATTTCTGTTCACATGCATCTGCACACATATGAATTCATATGTATGGATACATACATCTGGGCTCCCCTGGTGGCTCAGATGGTAAAGCATCTGCCTGCAATGCAGGAGACCCGGGTTCAAGCCCCAGGCTGGGAAGATCCCCTGGAGAAGGGAACGGCTTACCCACTCCAGTATTCTTGCCTGGAGAATTCCATGGACAGAGAAGCCTGTATAGTCCATGGGGTCACAAACAGTCAGACACAAAGAGTGACTGCTAGTCACTCAGTCAATACATACATCTATATACATTTACACATTTATGTACATGTGTGTACATATATACTGATACACACATATATAAACATATATATACATACATACTTAAGATATAACTATAGAGAGAAAGTGGATAGATAGATAGGTAGGTATATAGATCTCAAGTGTAGGTTTCCAAGGTATATTGCTGAGTAAAAAAAGTAAGTTGCAGAAAACCAAGGAAGGATGATGCTACTTAAAAACAAAAGGACATGAGAAGAGAGGAAGAGGGGAGAGAACAAACAAGCCCATAAATCCCGCAGGCGGACACACAACGTTCTCTATTCTCGGTGCACATTTTCAGCAATGAGCGTGTATGACTTAGTACTGAAACAAACAACCACGACAGAACGCTGGTCCCACTTTGGGGGACAAGCAAAGAGCCCCTCTTACTGGTGCAGCGTGTGCAGGGGGGTCTCCGGCTTCTCCGACTGCCCGTAGCAGCTGGCCTTGGCCTCGGGGATGTAGGAGAACTTGTCCAACATGGAAGACGCAGCCGTGGTCAGGATGCCCAGCCCGTCTCGCACCCTCGCCTCCAGGCTGTAGTCCCAGTCGTCGTAGGAGACAGAAATGAGCCCCGATGGAAACTCTTTGGGGATGAGCTCTGTGTTCCCAGAGACCAAGCTGGGGACGATCCAGAAGAAATCGTACCCGGTGAGGCCGAGGGAGCGGGCCTCGCTCAGGATGAGAACCGCCTCATCTTTGGAACAGTAGAGCAAGATGACGGAAGAGTGGATCTTCTTCAGCTGGACTTGCGTCTTTGCGTCCTCGAAGGACGTGTCCAGCGTGATCACGTTCTGCATGTCCCAGCCCACAAAGCTGTTGTCCACGGTGGTCTTGATGAAGCTGATGAAGTCCCTGTAGCCAGGGAAGATGGTGGTCACCAGAGAGAAGATATGCCAGTCGTAATCCTGCATGATCTTCAGCATGACCGTGGCTTGCTGCTGGATGGACGCTCCAAATTGGAAGAAGGTAGACGTCGGATCCTGCCAAGGGGTGAAAAGAAAGCAAAACAGCAGATGAGGCAGAAGGCAGCTTACATATGACCATCTGTCTTCGTAGCTCCTTCCTAGAAGTGACGGGAAATAAATCACACGCCTGTTCATTCGCAAACATTCCTGAGCACCTACTGTAGGCCAAGCTCTGGAATAGATACTGGAAACGCAGAGATGAAGGAGGTCCCTGAACTTGGAACCCAGAGCCTGTAAGAGTGAAGGACATCTGTTAATTTGCCAGCTTCATTTTCTACCAGTTCATCACACCACCAACCCTCTGGGTCTGCCAGGGACCCAAACACTATCTGACCCCCAGACTCAGGACTGGAAAATGAAGCCAGTAGAAGTAAAACAACCTCAGGAGATAGGGGGAGGTTTGTGATGACCTGGAGTCTGTCATGTCTGGAGTCAATTACTCTAGACCTGTTGGTTATGTAAGCCACACTTAAACTAATCTGAGCAAGGTTTTGGTCACTTGAACTTTAGATTCCTATGAAATATGGACTGTGATAAACACCAGGTGGACATCTATCTGTTCAGTCAAAAAATATTTGCTGATCACCTAATTACATGGCAACAGCATGTTAGCGCTTGTGGAAATGAGGATCTATAAGACAGACACATATGGTCTCTGCCTTCACAGACTTGGAAGAAAAGTGAAGAAGAGTAACTTCAATGAACTGATTGCTAAGAGAGGCAGAAGGAGACACTGAAGTTTCAAAAGAGGGGAAGCCAGTGGACAGTGTAGTCAGAGGAGCCCTGGGGATACATCTTGACTGTTTCAGGAGCTGGAGATAAATGGGTGATGGCCTGTGATGGAGGGGGATGAGATGATTTTGAAGAGCTTGGCAGAAACCCTATCACATACAGCCTCAGGAGCCATGTTAGATCTTATTCTGAGCATAAGGGTGAGTACCTGAATACTTACCCTGGAAAGTGACATGGTTACTTGTGTTGGGTTAAAGGGTCCCTCATAGTCCTAACATCTCCCCAAGTCATAACCCTGATCATGACAGCAAATATCCATTTAGAAAAAGAACAGGTGATGCACACAGTCGTGCCATTTCCAAACCCTTAACTCATCAGATTTCTGTGAAGATCCTGTGAGGTTGGTACTGTGATTGGAAGGACCGATGTTGAAACTCCAATACTCCAGCTATCTGATTTGAAAAGCCAACTCATTGGAAAAGACCCTGATGCTGGGAAAGATTGAGGGCAAGAGGAGAAGGGGGCGACAGAGGATGAGATGGTTGGATGGCATCACCAACTCAATGGACATGAGTTTGTGCAAACTCTGAGAGATGATGAAAGGCAGGGAAGTCTGGCGTCCTGCAGTCCATGGGGTTGCAAAGAGTCAGACACGACTGAGCTACTGAACAACAACAAGAACTGGTGGCAGTGGCAAATGAGCCTCAGGATAGTCCATGGTGAGTCAGCATCCAAACTCAGATTTTGGTTCAACTTTCTGCCCTTCTCCCAAAATACCACCACTGGGGTCACTGAAGATGTGCATAAAGTAGGCACTTAAACCATGTCATGGACCCACTGGCATGGTGCGAAAATGAGGACTAAACAGAAAGTATCAATCTGTATTATAGCAAAACAGGATTTGACAATTGTTGAGATGTATTTTTTTTTCTGGGAACTGAAAGAATTTTCAGAGGGTCCTTATCATATTGCAGTCATGCTTGCATTTTGCATTCTGTATTTACCATGTATGTTTAATACATCCTCAATTGTATGAATATAGCGATTCCATTTCATGCATGTGTGCATGTGTGTGTCTGTGAGTAGATGATTCCACTCATGTCTTTCAGAGCAATACTTTGTAGCTGTGCATGTCAAGTCTTTCAACAAGTCTGCATAATGTTCCCTGAGGATGCTCACTGAATAGAAAATTTTATCCAAAAAGGCTAAAAGCTACAGTTCTTAGAAATATCCTCCTTTTCCTAAAGTGCATGGTGTTTGGGGGGATAAATTGAGTGCAGCGTGGCCTGAAGGCAGAGATAAAAAACAGAAATAAATGCCTTCTGGGTCCCTTTCAACATTACAGTTCTATGAATTTTACCTAATTAAATCAATTAAATTGGGTAACAGATTTAAAGACTTTGGATAATTATCTTTTTCTCTACAGTAGCTGTTGGAGAAATCCAATATTCTTGGATTGACTAATCACTTTAAATCATGCCTCAACAAGGTTGCGGACTACTTAAGGGCAGAGATTGCTGTCCTCATCTGTGTCCCCAAAACCTGGCAGAAGCCTTGGCACATGACCCACCAGTAATGGAGAGTGAGGGAGTGCATGAGGGGACAGATGTGTGAATGAAGCCTAAGAGAAATGTCCTCGATTTAAACACAATGTGAAAGGGGGGAATTCAGTATCCAAGCCTGCATTTTGTGTGACTCTTGAACATCATGTCCAAAAATTAGAAGTTTTCCACATCCTCATCCCACTATTCTGAGGAACCAGTCCACCATCCAATGCCCAAAATATACCAGTGTATCCTTTATTGATAAAGAGGGCTTCCCTGGTGGCTCCGTGGTAAAGAATTCACCTGCCAACTAGGAGGTGTGGGTTCAATCCCTGGGTCGGGAGGATCTCCTGGAGAAGGAAATGGAAACTCACTCCAGTAATCTTGCCTGGGAAATTCCATGGTCGGAGGAGCCTGGCAGGCTACAGTCCATGGGGCCACAGAGAGTTGGACATGTGGGATCTCAGCTCCCTGACCGAGGACTGAACACGTGTTGTACTGCAGGTGGACTCCCAGCCGCTGGACCACCAGAGGAATCCTGGTCACTCACTCCTGACTTGAGCATCCCAACAATCTGCTTTGCTCACGGCCGCCTGATTGAAATTCCTAAAACACAGCTGTAACATGCACCTCTCCTCTCCTCTGTAGTCATCGCTGGCTCCCGCAGACCTGTCAAGTTCAACTTAGACTCTGTCCTCTACCCCTTCACGCGCACCAGTCAAACTTTATAGTTGAAATAGCACGGGCTCTGGGGTCTATCAGACCTGAACTCAAGTCCTGGCCCAGCGTTAACTGCCACGTGCCTAGTCGTCAGTTGCGATCTTTTGGACTGTAGCCCACTAGCCTCCTCTGTCCATGACATTTTCCAGGCAAGAATACTGGAGTGGGTTGGCATTTCCTTCTCCAGGGGACCTTCCAGACCCAGGGATCAAACCCACATCCCCTGCACTGTCAGATGGAGTCTACCCACTGAGCCATCAGGGAAACCCAACTAGCCATGCGACTGTGGGGGACTACCTAAACTTTCTGGATCTGAGTTTCTTTGCCTATGAAATGGTCATTGTGAGCACCATCCCACGGGGCTGCTATGAGGATAAGATGAATTAGCAGGAGGTAAACAACTCATGTAATCCACGTCTGGTTCCCACGGTTTAGGGACTCCCCTCCTCATCCTCTCATCTCCCAGTGGTCCCCAACCTTTTTGGCACCAGAGATCAGTTTTGCAGAAGACAATTTTCCCGTGGACCAAGGACAGTGGGCATGGTTTGGGGATGATTCAAGTGCGTTACATTTATTGTGCACTTTATTTCTATTATTATTACAACAGCTCCACCTCAGATCATCAAGCATTTAGATTCCAGAGACTGGGGACCCCTGCTCTAGATAGACCACATGGACACTGGCAGAAACCTAAGTGGGTCAGATCCTTATTCTATGTAAAAATGATATCTCCAGGCCTACTGACATGCTAGTTTTTTTGCATTCCCTCCTCCCTCCAAAACCAGTTCATCCAGCCCATTCATCCTGAGCCAAAGGGGCTGCATGAAGAGAGGGAAATGATCAACCATGCTTTGGAGAGAAACCGTGGCTAACGTCCTTTATGGACCTCAGTCAGTCCATAGTGGACCCTGCACCACTTTCATTTCGATTGGCATCTGAAACTTCAACTTCTAAAACCATGGCGGACCAAAGGCAATGCATACCCCTTGAAGGGATGAAGCAAGAAGTTATTTGTAAAAGGAGACACAGACGTAAAAAACAGACTTTCAGACTCAGTGGGAGAAGAAGAGGGTGGGATGATTTGAGAGCATAGCATTGAAACATCTACACGACCAGATGTAAAACAGATAACCAGTGTGAGTTTGACATATGATGCAGGGCACCCAAAGCTGGGGCTCTGTGACAACCTGGGGGAATGGGGTGGGGAGGGAGGTGGGGGAGTTCCCCAGGGAGAGAGGATATGTGCGTACCTGTGACCAATTCACACTGATATATGGCAAAAACCATCACAATATTGTAAAGTAATTATTCTCCAATTAAATTAAATAAATTTTTTAAAAAGCACAATTGCACAGTGAGGCATGGAGAAGGCTTGTGTTTAGCTTTGGGATTTTCAAAGGTGGGTCTATGGATGGGCAGGAGGTGATGGGGGAGTCTGGCCACACACCTGGGTGCCAAATGGTCCTTTGTTTCAAGGCCCCACATGTTCTTTCCAACTCCTACCTGGACAGCAGAGGCTGACCCTCCTGCACATACCTCCTCCCACCATCACTCAGCCTGACCTTTTCGAGCCCCACAGATCAGTCTGACCAGCCCTGGCGCTGGCTTCCTCAGCAGCATGCCACTGGGGGAGAGGAACAGATTTCAGACACCCACTTTTGTTCTGGAGCAAAAGCGGTTCTCTCCCCAAGCTCGTGGCTCCGCAGAAGCAGAACAAACCGTTTCAAAGGCAGACTCGAGGGGCAGGGGCGTGTGGGGCTCTGGGTGTCTGCCTTCTACTCCGTGCTCCAGTCCTGCCATGACTGCCATTCTAGAATGCTCCAGATCTCGCTGAGCTCCCAGGGTGAGACCTGGCTCCACAGGGATCAAGGTCTGATGTTTAATAGAGTCTAAAACCAACTCTCACCATGCCCATTATCTCTTTGATTCTAACTACCCAAGAGATGAGGTGCGGCCAATGGTTATAACCCTCATGGATGGCATTTCTCATAAAGACACAGGAAGAAGGTTAGATGATTT